TTTTTTTTTTTTTTTTTTTTTTTTTTTTTGGCCTTCCTAATTATATTTTTACACTTCATTTGCCAGAGTTTAGGCTCCTTTCTATTTTCCTCACTAGGATTTAACTTCCAATTTTTAAAGGATGCCTTTTTGTCTCTCACTGGTTTTTTTTTTTACTTTGTTGTTTAGCCCTGGCTGCACTTTTTTGGTTCTCTTACTATATTTTTTAATTTGGGGATACATTTAAGTTGAGTCTCTATTATGGTGTATTTAAAAAGCTTCCATGCAGCTTGCAGGGATTTCACTTTTGGCGTTGTACCTCTTAATTTCTGTTTAACTAACTTCCTCATTTTTGTGTGGTCCCCACTATGCCTTGGTTCAGGCCTCTAGGTCAGATTCAAAGCTTTGGTAGAGCAGTCCTCCAGGTGATATTCCTCTTACCTGTCTCTTAGGAAGGATACTGCTTGCTAGTGATGAAGAGCGGAATCTGTACAGACAATCACTTGAAAAAGAAAGTAGTTATTTACCCTACAGCACCTGTAGTTCTTTAGGTGTATTGTCCACACAGATTCCATGATCTGCTGTCTGTCTTTGCTAACAGATGTCCTGACCCTAGGGATCCTTATTGGCAAGGGAACTAAGAGGTGGTTGAGGCCACCCTGCCCCTTATAACCTCAGCTGTGAGGGGTTGCAACAATGCTCAGGGTATAGGCATGGCCCTGACATACACTGCTATTCCAAAGAATCCGATCTTACATGCATGGGGCACATGAGCACCAAAATCGGAATCCTATGCGGAGAACACATCTCGAGCTACAGTTAATGTAGGGTAAGTAACCATTCTTTATGTGAGCAAAGGATTGTTGATAGGCACTCATACATGGCAGTGATGCAGCCTGTTTAACTACAAGGGTGAGATAAATCATCCGATCAGGTTCATTCATGCAAAGAGTAAAATAGTGTCAACAGGACAGTCCCTCAAGTTAAGAGTGATTATTTGGATTAAGGAAACTACACAGGGTTGGCAGTCCCTATGACGTTAGTGGTGCAGATTGCCCTTTCTTTGGTCCCACTTCTCTTAGATGAAGGGTTATGATCCCAGCCCTAATATCCATTGTTGGTGCTGCTGAGATTGGAGTTTGGAGGGTAGTTCGCAGCCATTAATTTATGTATTTACAGCCACAATGGTGTTTGTGTTTTTTTCCAATAAGATTGCTTCTTTGGACAGCTTGGTTGCCATTCTGCACTCCTGGGACATCAGCCTGACCGAGTTGATGCTACAGAAGATGGAGGCAGAACAGCAAAGAAGAGCCTTGCTGGAAAAGAAGCAGAAAGAAGCTGAGACTCACCGGTGAGACCTGCACCCCAGCCTTAGCCAGGAAAGGGAAGATAGATACAGCAGTCACAAACACTGTTATACTGAAAGGGTTTTTTGCCTTTTGAATGGGTTACAGTTTGAGAACTTGGACTTTATGAGACAAAAGGCAAAAGAAGCTAAGAAAGAGACAGAATAGTAAGATAAGAAGGGATAAAAGAAGGAACCTCAAGTTTATGACCCAGGTGTTACCCAAGAGTTTGTCCCATTGCAGCGGGTGATGTCATTTGGTTCCTTTTCCTCACCTTGTCTGATCAGGACATCTTTTAGAATCAGGGAAGGGGGTCCAGAAACTGCAGTGCTGCCATGCCCCTCCCCACTGAGAGGGACTCAGAGACTGAACTGTGTTATTCTTTCCCATAGAATGAGCGAGGAGGTGGAGCAGCTGGCTAAAACGCAAGAGAGATGTAACAAGGAGGTCAGGCCTGCTCTTTTTAGAAACTATTAAACAGCCCCCAGGGTATCATTGTTCCCCCATTTCCAGCCCTTCCCTGCAGTGGCCATACTTCTTCTTCTTCTTCTTCTTCAGTGCCCAACTTTCCTGCTCAGCTGAGCCCTGAAGGGACTGAGTTGGAATTGGTATGTGTTTAGATGCTGATCTCTGGACTTACAGTTGTCAGCCCTTCTAGTCTTAAGGAGAGGGGCAGCACTTGCTAATTGGTGTAATTTGTGCAAGACTGGTTTGTACCTGCATGGAGAAAATGCAATTCCTACTGTTCTCTCTCCAAGAGAGAGTTGATGGTATATGTTCTGTACTCCTCACGGTGCATGCCTGGGACAGATATTCATGCTGCTCAGTTGCACTTGCATAGAGACTGCCAACCAGCTTGCCCTAGCTGCTGGTCAGTCCCCTTTGACCTTTTTATACAGTCAGCCAACTGGTCCCAACATCTGATCCAGATCAGGGGTTTACTGTCCCTCCTGAGAACAGTAGGGTAGAATTTATCCCCTCTGTGTGACAGGAAAGTTGCAGCCTCATCTAGAGCATAGGGACATGGAATTTAAGCCTTACCGGTGTGACAAAGGATTCTGCTTTCCTCCCCACCTAAGACAAAGTTGTGTTGTGGGGCCACCTTCATCTTTTCCCATCTGTTTCCTCCTTTTTCCTCCCATGCAGCTGCAGCAGGCCTACTGTGAACTGAACAGGAGAATCACGGAGCATGACAAGTGTCAGAGAAAGCAGATGGTCAATGCAGAGCTGACCCTGCAGGTGAGGCTCCCAGGCCCTTCTGCCCCGTTAGGCCTGAAGGGAAGGGACTCCACAGAGGTTCCAAGCTGCCTTTTCTCCATTAGACCTAAGGGGCAGCTTGGGGCTCTCTGCCACATCCTTTCAGAATATTTGGGGTAGGAGGTCTGTACAGTGTGCACCCAACATTGTGTCTCATTGGAAGGTGGGGCTCATAGATTATTAGGCCAGAAGAGACCGTTGCGATCATCTAGTCTGACCTGCTTAACACAGGCCATAGGAGTTCCCTGAATGAATTCCTATTTACATTAGAGCATATCTTTTAGAAAATATCCAAACTTTGTAAGAACGTCCAGTGATGGAGATATCACAGTTCCAGGGTTAACGGCACCTCTGGTTTGGTCAGCTCAAAGGCACCGCTTTAAGTCTCAGGCCTCCAGCCACCACCTCTCTATGGGCAGGGACCCATGTCCCTCTCCCTCCAGACTAGGTATTTAGGCTTGCAGTCCCCCTTCCAATTCGCTGTGCTTATCCCAGCAGGTCTGACTTTAGTTCAGTGCCTGCAGTTCTGCTCTCTCCCAGTGGCTATGATGGTTGTTTCACAAAGCACAATATATACAGTATATTTAGGACAAAAGCATTACAGAGTACATATCATTTAAAAAAATTGTCTACATGCATGCTAAGCTTACCAGGTGACACCCATCATCCACATGGAGACCCTGGTAGGTTTCCAGTTCTTCAAACCCGACAGCAGGGTTTTTCCCTCTGTTATAGTCTCAAGTTAATTTGAGGATCAAATGAAGGTCACTCAATCAGTTCAGGCTGAGCCTTTGTACCAAAAACCCTTTTTTGTCATCTGGGTCCTTGAACCTGGTCTGAATCAGTATGTGTAATTCCCCCCACGAGTTAGTAAGTATCTGGAGTTGTTTACCTGTCCTGGGATTTGCAGGATTCCCCCCCACACACACACACTTATTGTAGTTACTGGAGTTAGCTCTCTAATCCTTCCCCATGGAGCTAGAATAAAATCTTTATCTGAAAAAGATACATAACATTTATAGATACAAAAGCTTTGGGATATTTACTGTACCCATTGTCAAGCTGTCCTGCAGTAGCTCAAGAGCATGAGTACCAACCTCAGGGCAGACTGTTAAAAAAACAGGCACAAACCCCAAACTGGTTGAGAGTTCTATAGTTAGATTTCACCAACCAGTTATCAAGCGTATACTCCTTAGGCACTATAACAGCCTTAACATGGAGTCACAGACAGTCCCCTGGGGTACTCCCTGTCTCGCCACCCAGGGAAGCTTGCCATTGTGATAGATGGCCATTTCACCACGAATAACAGCAATATTCAGGTTACGCCCAGTCCTGAATTGCATGTTAGAGCTCACACCAAAGACAATGCTTGTAGCCAATCCTATACTAAACTATCTAAAGATTTACTAAATAGGAAAAGGAAACGAGTTTTTTACAAGGTTAAAGCAGATAATGACTTACAATCTTAACTTTCAAAAAGTAATAAAAGCTTCTATAATAAGCAAGGTCTGTATGTCCTTTAGGGCTAACCCAGGATAAGCACTAGGGATCTTTTGTTTATTCTAGTAATCCTTGTTCCCCCAGAGTCCAAGCAATATAAAGATACACTTCCTGTTTGTTCGGGGGTTTTATTCACTTCCTCACTTCTGCTTTGAGCTGCCAACTCAGCTGATGGGAGCAATTCACTTGCAAGACTCATCTTCTCGGAGATGGGAAGAGTAAACAACAAAGTCTTTCTTTTGTCCTCTTTAATCTTCCAGGCTGGTCTGTGGGGTGTCAGTGGGCCTTCCTTGTTGGGCAGGCCATAACACCTTTTGTCGGAGACCAGCATTTCACACTAATTAACGTCTTTCTCCTGTCTGGAATTTACACAGTTACAAAGCACTGCAAATATTACCTTACAATGTGGGATACAGCTGTTTTAGGTGAGATTAATGCATGCAGCAGCTCACAAGCATTCAATAAACTCTGAACACATTCTTATAATTCTAAGGGCTTGTCTACACTACCGCGGTAGTTCGACGGCTGGCAATCGAACTTCCGGGTTCGATTTATCGCGTCTGGTGTGGACGCGATAATTCGAACCAGGAAGTGCTCGCCGTCGACTGCGGTACTCCACGTCAGCGAGAGGAGTACCGCGGAGTCGACGGGGGAGCCTGCCTGCCGTTTGTGGACCGCGTCTGAACCGCGGTAAATTCGAACTAAGGTATGTCGACTTCAGCTACGTTATTCACGTAGCTGAAGTTGCGTACCTTAGATCGAATTGGGGTGTTAGTGTAGACCAGGCCTAATATCTGTTTTAACAATACTAACACACAAGTGAGCCAGACTGATTTTTAGCTCTGTTTGTCAGTATTCAACTGAGGCATGTGTATCTTGGCCTGAGCTGGCACCAGGTCTGCCAGTTTCACACCCATAGCACCTATTACATCTCAGTATAATCTTTTCAAGGTTCTACACGTCCAAGATCACATATCTGACACAGGAGAATTCACCACAACGCTTGGTAAATTATTCCAATGGTTAATTACCCTCATTGTTAAAATTTTGAGCCTTGTTTCTAGTCCGAATTTGTCTAATTTAATCTTGCAATCATCAGATCTTTGTTTGCTAGATAGAAGAGCACTTAGAATCATAGAAGATTAGGGTTGGAAGAGACCTCAGGAGGTCATCTAGTCCAACCCCCTGCTCAAAGCAGGACCAACCCCAACTAAATCATCCCAGACAGGGCTTTGTCAAGCTGGGCCTTAAAAACCTCTAAGGATGGAGATTCCACCACCTCTCTAGTTAACCCATTCCAGTGCTTCACCACCCTCCTAGTGAAATAGTTTTTCCTATTATCCAACCTAGACCTCCTCCACTGCAACTTGAGACCATTGCTCCTTGTTCTGTCATCTGCCACCACTGAGAACAGCCGAGCTCCAACCTCTATGTAAACCCCCTTCAGGTAGTTGAAGGCTGCTATCAAATCTGTCCTTGCTCTTCTCTTCTGCAGACTAAATAAGCCCGGTTCCCTCAGCCTCTCCTCATAAGTCATTTTCATTGCCCCCTGCTGGACTCTCCAATTTGTCCACATCCTTTCTCTAGTGGGGGCCCCAAAACTGGACGCAATACTCCAGATGTGGCCTCACCAGTGCCGAATAGAGCGGAATAATCACTTCCCTCGATCTGCTGGCAATGCTCCTACTAATGCAGCCCAATATGCTGTTAGCCTTCTTGGCAACAAGGGCACACTGTTGACTCATATCCAGCTTCTTGTCCACTGTAATCCCCAGGTCCTTTTCTGCAGAACTGCCACTTAGCCAGTCAGTCCCCAGCCTATAGCAGTGCATGGGATTCTTCCATCCTAAGTGCAAGACTCTGCACTTGTCCTTGTTGAGCCTCATCAGATTTCTTTTGTCCCAATCCTCCAATTTGTCTAGGTCACTCTAGACCCTATCCCTACCTTCCAGCGTATCTACCACTCCTCCCAGTTTAGTGTCATCTGCAAACTTGCTGAGGGTACAATCCATCCCATCATCCAAATCATTAATGAAGATGTTGAACAAAACCAGCCCCAGGACAGACCGCATGGCACTCCACTTGATACCAGCTGCCAACTAGACATCAAGCCGTTGATCACTACCCACTGAGCCCAATGATCTAGCCAGCTTTCTATCCACCTTAGAGTCCACTTATCCAATCTATACTTTTTTAACTTGCTGGCAAGAATACTGTGGGAGACCATATCAAAAGTTTTGCTAAAGTCAAGGTATATCACATCCACCACTTTCCCCATATCCACAGAGCCAGTTATCTCATCATAGAAGGCAATTAGGTTGGTCAGGCATGACCTGTCCTTGGTGAATCCACGTTGACTGTTCCTGATCACCTTTCTCTCCTCCAAGTGCTTCAAAATGAATTCCTTGAGGGCCTGCTCCATGATTTTTCCAGGGACTGAGGTGAGGCTGACAGGTCTGTAGTTCCCCGGATTCTCCTTCTTCACTTTTTAAAAGATGGGCGCTATATTTGCCTTTTGCCAATCGTCTGGGACCTCCCCGGATCGCCACGAGTTTTCAAAGATGATGGCCAATGGCTGATGTGATTGCAGAGTCAACTCCCTGAGCACCCTCAGATGCAATGCATGTGGCCCAATGAACTTGTGTATGTCCAGCTTTTCTAAATAGTCCTTAACCTGTTCTTTCACCACTGAGGGCTGCTCACCTCCTCCCCATACTGTGCTGCCCAGTGCAGCGGTCTGGGAGCTGACCTTGTCTGTGGAGACCGAGGGGAAAAAAGCGTTGAGTACTTCAGCTTTTTCTACATCCTCTGTCACTAAGTTGCCTCCCCCATTCAGTAAGGGTCCCACACTTTCCCTGACCTTCTTGTTGCTAACATACCTGTAGAAACCCTTCTTGTTACCCTTCACATCCCTTCCTAGCTGCAACTCCAATTGTGCTTTGGCCTTCCTGATTACACCTCTGCATGCTCGAGCAATATTTTTATACTCCTCCCTAATCATCTGTCCAAGTTTCCACTTCTTGTAAGCTTCCTTTTTGAGTTTAAGTTCACCGAAGATTTCTCTGTTAAACCAAGCTGATCGCCTGCCATATTTGCTATTCTTTCTCCACATCGGGATGGTTTGTTCCTGCACCCTCAATAAGGCTTCTTTGAATTACAGCCAGCTCTCCTGGACTCCTTTCTCCCTCATATTAGCCTCCCAGGGCATCCTGCCTATCAGTTCCCTAAGGAAGTCAAACTCTGCTTTTCTGAAGTCCAGGGTCCATATTCTGCTGCTCTCCTTTCTTCCTTTTGTCAGGATCCTGAACTCAACCATCTCACGGTCACTTCTGCCGAGGTTGCCACCCACTTCTACTTCCCCTACCAATTCTTCCCTCTTTGTGAGCAGCAGGTCAAGAGGAGCACGGCCCCTAATTGGTTCCTCTAGCACTTGCACCAGGAAGTTGTCCACAACATTCTCCAAAAACTTCCTGGATTGTCTG